AATGTTTTAATAGATTACAACAGCTTCTACATACTAATGAAAAGTTATCCTTTTTTTAAAGACAAGATAAAATGGATACTTTATTTAGGACATCTCAAAGTTATTTTGTGTCTTTTTAACCTGAAACCCACTCTAAGTCATATTTTTTACATAATTACTTGAGACTAAAAATATCATAATTTACATCTTGAGGAAATTAAAAATAAAATCTCTTGTGTTGTGGTTTATTAGTGTTTCTGTGAATGAAAAAACAGTTAAATGTAACATGATTTCCTTCAAAATTAAAATGCTATGTTAATTTTTTCATGATACAAACAATTAATGATCCCACAAGAAATGCATAAGTGGGACTAGTGTTAATATTTCAAGTTTGCTAAAATGTACAAAATAAAGAAGCATGTTTCATCACATATAAAAATACAAAAACAAAAAGTTATAATCCTCTAAAATTTAGCAGTTAAATACCAACAATAATTACGAATAAAGAGATTACCTCACATGGGTACAGTCAATAAAGTAGATGATAAAGTAAGATAATGAAGGCACCTTATTACTAGGATGCTAACCGTTGATTGAAGTGTTCTTCTATAAGAAGTAAATGTACAGTATTTGTGAGTCCAAAATGATTAAGCTTAAAACAGATTGAATAAAATAACAAATGAATAGAATAGAATAATAGAAGGGAGCACATGAATAGGACTGAAGGAAAAAACAGGTAGTATTCTAGATTATGAAAAAATGAGGGGAAAACCAGGCATTCCTAATGAAAGATTGAGCAAAGCAGTCTCCGAAATGCTGTACCTCATACCTATTGCCATTCTGTTGATTCTGATATGATCCCATGTACAGAAGAGAACTCCCTAGACTTTCTGTGGCTGTAAATGTTTTCAGAGAAGAAAGCCTCATCTTTCTCCTGGGGAGCAGCTGGTGGGTTTGAACCACCAACTTTGTGATTGATTAGCAGTCCCTTGTTGAAACTGCTCTACCACTAGATCGACCTTTTGAAAGTGTAGGTCGTATTAAAGGAAACCTAATCAAAAGATTAGTTTTGGTGTCTTACATTGTACTCCAACAGCAGTTCCATAGTCAGCCTTTCAGGTTACTCAAGAATTTATAAACTATATAAAGTTTCTATAAATAAGTCAAAACTGTGTGTTTTCTAACATGTCCTATATTTATCTCAATTTCTCACCTCGCTTAATAAAAAATAGCTCGGTATCTTGATATAGACACTGTTTTAGTAGTCATATTTGTATTAATATAGTACATATTAATCATTGTAAATAAAGAATAATTTAATATTGTAAATGGCAAAAATATAAGTGCATTTGATAACTAAATACTAAAAACATACTTTTTCAAATCATGTTCTTTTAGAATACAACTTTTTCACATATTGTAGAAACAAATAAAAATGAACCCTTGGAATGCTTAACTTTGTAAAAGCAGAAGGTAATTTATAGTTTCTAAAATAAATTCTTTCCAATTCTGATTTGTCATTAGCACTTATTTTATGGGTATTATTCAAACGATAATAAGGTGAGCAAAAATGGAATTAAAACAAAAACAAAAAAACGTAAAAGGGACAAACACTCAAGCTGAGGGAGGAAAAAGCTAGAGAAAAAAAAATTCACCCTCAAGTAACAATATTGGAGGATTCTATGGGCAACAAATCAAATGATGCAGGAGCAACAAGTGTAGAAGGAGGAAATGCACAGTCACTGTGCCTAAACAAGAATCAGTAGACATCCAATCAGTTCGAGAGATAGCACATGATAAAAACTCAACCTAAGTTTAACCTGCACTGAAGACTTTGGCAGAAAATAAGAGCCTAGGATTTGATGAAATGCTAATTGCAATGTTTCCACAAATAGTTGCAATGTAGGAAGTGCATACTTGTCTATGTAAGAAATTTGAAAGACAACTAGCCAACTGACTGGAAAGAGATGATCTAACAGAATGAAGGACATGATGGGATAATAAGTAGCATTAATATCCCATGCAGGTAAAATTTGGTAGAAGATAATTTTAAGATCCAACATATATCATGGATCTCAGATGGAGCGTGGCTAAAAGCAGAGAACACCAGGCTTGTGTTTTATCAACTATGCAAAGGCATTTGACTATATGGTTTATAATTACTTATGAATAACATTGTGAAGATGGTATTCTGGAACACTTACCTGTGCTCATATGGAACCTGGACATAGGACAAGACAGTCATTTAGACAGAACAAGGTGATACAGTATAAAAATATTTTAAGTGTGAATCCGTCCACCGTACTTATTCAGTATATATGTTGGTCAAACAATTGAGACACTGGACTAGATGAAGAAGAAAGCATCCGAGTAGGAGAAAGATTCATTAACTACCTGGGGTATGAAGCTGACTTCTTTTCCTGCTGAAAGCAACGATGACTTGAATCATTTGCTGATGAAGTTCAAACACTACAGCCTTCGGTATAGATTGATCTCAGCACAAAACAAACATGTGTACAGCTGGGTCAGTAAGCATAATCAGGATAAAAGGAGAAGATATGGTGAATTTGTTAAAGATTTTACTTGGCCCCACACCCTGGAAGCAGCCATCAAGAAAAGCTACTACAAAAGACTCCTTTAAAGTGTTAACTTAAAAAATGTGTCACTTTGAGGAAAAAGGTGTATCTAACTCAACCCAGGATATTTTCAATTACATCATGCATGTGTGTGAAAAATGTATATGGAAAGCAAGTGTATTGTTTGCGTTTGAATGAAGGTGTTAGTGAAGAATCGTAACTGTACCATAAAGGGCTAGAAGCCCTCATATGATTCACTCCGCTGGTGAAATATGAGGCTTTCTGTTCCTAACCAGAGGTACAGTCTCAGGAAACCAACCAGGGCCGTTCTCCACATCCTATAGAGTCACTGTGAGTTAGAATTCACCAGAAGGCAATGAGCGGATTGCCAGAAGAACAAACAAATCTCTCTTAGAATAAGTACAGCCAAGATATTCCAAGGGAGATTTGGATGTTATCAAAAGGGACCGGTCCTTGTAAAAGGACATCATGTTTAGCAAAGTTGAGGGTCAACTGCAATGAAGAAAGGGCCACATGAGATAGTTTCACAGTGGCTGCAATAAGGAGTTTAATCATGGCAATGATTGGGAGGGTGGTGGGGGGCTGAGCAGCATCTCATTCTTCTATACATATGAGTACAGAACCAGAGCATTATGAGTCAGAACAAAATCATGGACATCTGAAATCAACAATGGCACCATATAAACCAATAAGTAATATATTTTAGTTGTTGTTTTATCACTAAAGATGAACGTGATCCCAAGAGATTTATTTCACTCTCCAAAAGCACATAGCAATGGGCTTATCAATGATGATCTCTTCTGAACTATTGAGAAGGTAAATTATTTTCTTCCTTTTAAAATAACACCTCTCAGTCCATGTGGATCCAATACTCCTTTAAAGTGGTTTAAAACTGTCTTACTAATATTTTAGGATGGAGTTTTAATTTTTTAAGAGTTTGCACAATAGAGGAAGTATTAAAAGACAATCTGAAGTGACCTATGGAAAAGAACTGAAAACCCAGAAA